GTACCTGCCCATGCTCTGCTTCAGGCGAACGGGATGAAGAAGCGACGGGAAATGTGAACTTGAATTACGTACTATCGTGTGATTAAAAGCACAAGCACAATGCAGTTCTGAACTTCGACAACGACGTCAGTCGCTGCCGATCTACCGATGCTCATCTCGATGCCATGCGCGCCACTTTTCTACGCTGGCGGACCAAAATGGCCGTCAGCCCCAGGCCGAGCTTGTCGTTGTGCCGCCCAGTTCCGGGATCTTGCGAGGTTCTTTGTACAATACGACTGGGATTCCTTCGGCTTGAGACTTTGGGCTGTGTCAGTCACCGTACTGGCGGCCGCCCGGTCCGCATTCGCTGTGTCTGCAATTCCAATACGGCCACAGGCTTTCCTCCCACATCTGAGTGCCATGGACTTTGCTCTTCGTTACACATGCCCGAAAATCCAATCACGTGGCATATTTTAAGAGTCCCCCATAATCTGAGTAATTGTGCCGTCCTCAATACTACGCGGTCGGCAAGAGCAGCTACGGTGCCGACAAAGCCAGCCGCTCGCCGCCCGCCGCTCGGCATCTCTCGAACAGCGGCTCGTAAAATGTTTATGAGCTCACACACCTCGCATTTTTCCGTCGGATCCGGCAAAGTTGTGCGTCGTCAAATGCGCAGCTCAGCTGTGATTTCCACTTAATAGCAGGACTAGAAAGAAGCCGAAATATAAGAATTCGACTCGATCATTGCATTCCAGTAAATACTTCGCTGCGTAGAAAAGTACAGTTTTGTATTGCTCTCGATGAGTATACCGCAACCTCAATGTGAATTTCGAGGCTACACCCGGATCACCCACCCATGGTGGATTACTGTGGGTGGGTCTGTTTTACATGTGTACGTATTCTGTGGGGCGGACACAGCATGGGCAGGACAGTGCAGTGTTATGGAAGTGGACTGGAAGGGCCATCAGGCTGACACATGATAGGCTGATGGCGTGTTTCAAACTGCGACGATGATGACGCATCAGCAGCGCAGCACCATGATGGAAGACGAGATGCCCTGAAGCTGCTTCGCATTCAGCTCTATCCAGCCAGTCATATGGCGCCATTTCGGCAGCCGAGCGGAGTGCGCAATGTTTGAACCTGGTCTCAAGTTTGGTTTAAACCAGCGCTATGACGTCGCAGTCGTCCATGGCACAGCTGAACGCAATTACAATGTAATTGTGCAAACGAGTGCAATGTGATATCCTTCGTAGCGTGGCCCTATGGTAACCATTTCACTAACAATCCAAGACTCGACAATGGTATGCTACGGATTGCCATGATTATTTAAGCCTTATGCACCTATAACCGATTCGTCTAGCTTGTGAGCTCACATGCGTGACGTGAAGCTATTACGGAAAGCATATGAATGCATGAACATCATGGTATAGATCGCGTTTTGCCCCGGTGCAATCAATAAGACCGCCTGGGTGTACGGGGCTTGTTCAGCTGACCGGACTCGCTGGGTGGTGTTGGGGCGAGCCCTGCGGCGGTTGACCCGGCCAGTCACGTGACACCCGTAGGTACCTGGTGAGCCCGGGGCCATGGTCTGACCAGCCTCCCCCCCGCCACCCCACCCCAACACTGTGAGCTCCACCCCAGGAAGATATCTACCTCACCAACTGCATTCAGAGTTTGCGTAGCAAGGGGTGTTCAACTTAGAATCACTAAACGCAAAAGTAGAACCGCCTCACGTTATTCACTCTCTCGTAAGTTGACGAATGTGGAGTTTGTGTACACGAACAAAGGTTCCTTCGGCCATCGTGCGTCCGGTGCCTATAAACAAATTCTGAGCAATATATATTAAACGCGATTAGTCCAACACGATGGAGCATAACGAAGCCATTTCGAAAAACAACTCTTGACTACCCGTCACCTATTTTTAACACCGACAAAAAACAGGCACCATTAATCAATATCAATCCACCTCACATCGCGCTGCTCCTTCGGTATCAAGCTACAGCGGACGTGCACACCGTGTAAACACGGCAATCAATAGTCGGCAACGCTGCTGCCAAAGCCCGCACCGACCGCCAACGGGTGGGTGGTGGTCGGCTTGTTTAATCAATGCCTCCAATTCGAATCAAAGTGCAGTAAGCACATGCATGGCTCTCCCCTGCACAACGCACAATGCGTTCAAACGCGATATTCTGCTCTTTGGAAAGGCGCTGTGGCAGGCGCAGGGCAACATGCTTGCGGTCGTGTCAAGTCCTGAACACTGTATTGTGCAATCTCATATGAAAAGCACACTTCCAGTTACGTCGTATGTTTTAAAGGAGGTGTTCCACACTTGTATGCGGTTTTGGACTGAATTAGCCATCCGGAAGATCATTCAATGCAGTTCACACCCCTGCCCTTCTCAAGATCTTTACTCCTCCAGTTTCTGAGCCACACGCCCGTGAAGATGCGCAGGCCATTTCGAGGAGACTATTCACCATAGCAGATCCACTATCCATAGGAGAGTCACCCAGGTCATGCTATTCCATCAGCCATGTGTCATTGAAGGCCAAGACAAATATAGTTGTCGAGTCGTTCATACCTGGCGTTCGTAAACAAGATTTCCAGATATATCTGCCACCAATTGGCTGTCAATCAATGTTGTGCAAATTACGATGACTAGCCAAACAATGGTATATTCAAGAGCATATTTACTAAATCGATAACTGAAGTCGTCTGGGGCAGTAATTTTCACTTGAAAGCATATAAATAGATGAAGTGAGCTTATTTCATCATAGCATTATTTGTATTCATCATAGCATTATTCATAGCATATTTCATCAAGCATCACATCTGATGCTTGCTTTGACATCTTCAAATGCGGAACAATTTCTTTTACCAGCGCCCCGCCAGGAGAGGGGAAGTTGACTTTCCCCATCGTTTTTTCGAGCGCAGGTCAATAACGAACAGTTGCAGCAGGACGAAATTTTCAGTATCTCTTTATATATCAATTTGGCATCCTTTGTGCGAACTTGAAATTTTGATCTACCAGGATCAGTGACGTAGGTCAGGTCAAAGAGGTCAGCTTCGAGCAATTTTTGTGCATTCATAACTTTTTTGTTGCTCACTGACCATAGTGCAAACATGTTATAGCGATAAAACATAATATTAATTAACGTTTGCATCTTTTGAAGCTTTCGAGAGAAAAAAATGCAAGGTCGGTGACTTGACTTTAGGTTAATTTTTTCTATTTTTCGTAAAAAATGCAGATGTGCGTTTTTTGTGCAATTGTTATGTTTGTATATTATGAGAAGAGTGTTAACTTACATGCACAACCACCATATGACCAAAGAGCACATGATCCTTGCCCAGGTCATGACCTATCTCTACAGGTACTTTCAGCAAAACATGTCGTGGGCTCAAAATAGGCAAATTTATTAGTATTTTTGACGTAGCAGTCAAATGCTCTACTGAACACATGTTGCGATGTCATTCTAATGCACAACGAGCTCACAATAGGTCATGTGAAGACATGCAGGGTCATATATGGTCATCCCATGTCAGTGACCTATGTTGCTAGTAGTGAAGAGGCTTGATGGACGGGTGCGACGCGTATAACCGATCTCTTATCGTGTTTGTGTAGCTGATGGCGTCTAATGTCGTGTACCAATGTGCCTGTTCTGTTTTTTTTTTACAAATACATTGAAAAGCACCGAAGGAACTTTGTATAAGGTAGACATCAGCTTCTATCCACATAAACACATTGTACCGGTCACATAGACACGATTAGCACTTCAGTGTCTTTCTTCATTTGGATGGTTTATCAATTTGACCTAAGGTAACCTCAGATGACCCAAAAGTCACCGCTAGATGCTATTATATGCTATATTTGTGTCAGGAATACTTCGGTACAATAGCGGCACCAAATAAAATGAGCTTAGTCGGAAGCACATTGTGAAGAAAAGTATCGTTCTTGAGGGACATGGGTAAACAATTTTGTACGGTGACCGAATCTGACCTGACCCATGTGGAGTGGCAGAAATGGCCATTGTCTTCCCGCAGTCTTAGCGCTTATTTCCGTGCCCTCAATACCCCATTTGACGTGTAGACATCGGTTTTCACTGCATCGCTCGGAACGAGCGTCTTTGGTCTTCCATGCCCTCTGACGACCTAACATTTTACCTAAGGTCAAATATTTGGCGCGTATCACTCATCTAGCGCGACGTTCAAGACGGTATCTTTGCTATTCTCACACGGTGTCCGGAAGCTGGGGATCCCAGCGGGAGGTCAACTTACTACCCCATCCCCTGACCGGGAGTGGTTTCCTCGGACCCCGGCGGCGCGCGGGTTAAGGGCGGCCAGGTATTCGTCCTGGGCGCTCAGTTGGTCGGAGTCACTGCATTCCGATTTATTAATCGTGGCAGTGTGGGTCTGGGTCGCTTTAGGTGCTCGCACTTTTCCCCCGACTGGGAAAACCTGAGGCCGGTGGCAGAAGTCACGCTAAGATCAATTGACAACATATGATAAAGCGGACGGCGCCGAGCAATGCGGCACATAAAGCTTCTGGCGCAAAATTTTGTCGTTGACCCGGAATTTCACGATCGGTATCACGCAACAAGCCCTGCCTAACGTGGGCACATATTCCATCTGTTCATAAAGATAGGGCTGAATCTTGAAGACTTGAAAAACAAAGACACTTATGACGTGTAATTCATGACTCCGCAGCAGCGTTTCCTGGCGCAGGTGTTTTCAGTTCATGTTTTCAGTCGTTTGCCGTGCCGGCCAGCACCGCGATCAGCGCCGAGGTGGCGGCCGCAGGCGAACGCTGACCGCCACCGGCGCCAGTGACCCCGCGCGCCCCGGGGCGACGCCGCTCGTGACCGCGTGCCTGCGTTTGTGATTGGCTCGGCCGGGTGCCCACATGCTGGCAATCTAACCGTCTCACAGGTGGCGGTATGCCGGGCCCGCAGGCCCGCACAAGTGCGCGCTGTCTGACCTGGCCGCGGCCCCCGGCGCCGCTGTCGGCAGAGCCCACTGAGCGGCCGGCGGCGCCGCACCACACGGTCAGGTGGCGTTCCGTGGCCGGCGGCGCGGCAGCCTGCGGGTTGGTGCGGTCGGGTGCGAGTGCCGCACGCGTGGGAATCAGGCGGCAGTCCATGCGGGGTGACGCCGGCGATGGGTCCTCTCGCCACCCTCGCCGGCGGGGCGTAAGCACGGCCTGGACGTGTGACGCCCCAGCAGTAAAGATACAGATCTTTCGAGACTTCCAGTCAAGTGCAGCACCGCGTTTCGGACTCGCGGGGGCTGAGTAGAGCTGGGCATGAGCGGTCTGACTCGCGGAGGCTGAGACGAGCTGGGCGTAAGCGGATACAGGCGTCGCCTTGTGTTCAACCTCAGGGTTTCCTCGCTGGCAACGATGGGGTCAACCCCCTCAAAGAAGGATCGTGTCGAGGAGAAGCCGGCCATCAAAGGTGACGAAGAAAAGCCCAGTTACGGGAGCATTGATCAAAGTTCCACGGAACCGACGGACCAAAAGAGCCCAGAATCAAACACGACCAACGGCGCTGCAACGGCAGACGCTGAAAAAGGCAAGGCTAGTGAAAAAGCGAAGACGCAGAAAAGCGGAGGGAGTAAGGAACGACTTATCGACGAGGACGGTGAGCTAAGACATCACGACGCGGCAATACCGCAATCATCTCATAGGAATTCCCGAAGTACTGATCTGGATAAAACTATTGCGTAAATGCAGTTTTCACAACGTTTTACTGCGTGGTGTATAAAAACCTTAAGTGTTTCAAAAGCCAAGTTGTAATTCTTACATATAAGCCATGTTCATGATGCATGCACTGAACAGTTTTTTGAACAGCCCGATGCACTTGATATAGAGTATTAAAAACCTTTTTTATGAAACTGTAGTATACAGTAAACACTGGCAAGGAAAAGCTGATGTCATTCAATTCCATTAGCATGCAATAGGTGAACCACGTATATTCAGCTAGATAGTTTGTTGTATTAGACGAGATCCTTTATAAACGTTTCTTTAGCCCACGTCTCTAGCTCACCCAAATTCTACGAAAATACTTAGCCTGGTAATCAGCATTGTGAATTGGTCAAAAGCGTTGGATGCTGGCTACGTCATCGCTGCTTACTTTGGCGCTGCGGAGGCAAGTTGGGTTTGGAGGTTTATTTCTTTCAAATATCATTTATCTTGGATCATGTTAAGGTGCACAAGCTTTGTAAGCGCTCTGCGTAATGTAGGAAAGATCCGTAAGTACTCCAAGTGAGCTCTCCAAGTATTGCGTACCTATGAACAGGGACGCTGCAGGAGTATATAATGCTATTTTGTTGCGTCTGCGCTAGAAGTGCTGCCGAATGTTTTAGAAAGCTGTGAAAAGTTTGGTAAGATGATATCTGACGTATCTTACGCCTGTCCATAAAAGCATGTTCATGCTTGTGGCCACCCAGCCGCGATTTTACCAGATTATGCGCCTTTACAAACATGTTCTTAAATCTTTGCAAAACATTGCAAGCCGAAAACCGCTAGGAAAAGGTGTATGCTTAAAAAATACTAGTGAAAAGTTTTTGGAAAAGCTTTGAAGTCTTGCACCGTAATCCTTCGTAAAAATGATTAATTACATTCCGTAGCAAAGCCAGGGCTCATGCATCAGTTTCAGCAGAACTTACAAGCAATTAGAAGGACGCCGCCGTAAATGCCCTCAGTGATTGTTGTGTTGCAGACACACTTCCCTCCGCGATTGTACCACATCCGTTAAAGTTATCCGTGTCACTGCGTGCCGGCGTAAGTCAACTGAGAGCGTTAACTGTCCCTTAGTCCACGGTAAGCTCGCGGCTACAATTGTGGTCTTGTTAGCACCTGTAGGACTCGAGATTAAGTATGCCATCTGCCGTGGGCTTATGCCGAAGCCAGTTAGTGTGCCGGGCACCAAGCATGTTCTGCCACCTGCAGGCATTCGTGTCTCTCTGCCACTTGTGTAATGTGGTCAAGCATGCACTATATATTAGAGAGAAGGTCAATAAATGTTGCGAGACCCTTTGCAGTCGGTGCGCTCCGAAATGCCAAGTAACCATCATTACCGAAAAGGTACGCCTTGATGTTTTCATCGTGTGAACGTGCTCACGCTTGTTCCTTAATTGCAGGCGAGCCCAGAATATATGACCCAGATTTTACCGGCCCAATCAAGCAGAGATCATGCACAGACATACTGTGCACAATTCTTTTCATCGCCTTTATAATTGGCTGGGCCTGCATCTCCATATTTGGTGAGTACGCTGTGTTGACGTACGGTTTGTCCTTACCAACGCACAGCAAAATATTGCCACAGTGGTGTTGGTAACGTGCACCTGTGGCAATGGGTAGCAATGTCAGGAAGGGTGCTTGACAAAAAGTGAAAATAAGTGAGCAGACAACGTTTTAAACATTCAGAGAATATTGGGGAGATGTTTTGCAAAAAGAACATACGCTATATTCTTTTCATTAAACGGTGTTAGGGTGTTGTTAGAAAAAACGCATGCTAACATTGCGATTTGTTCAATAAATGCTTGTGGTCTAAGGTTGATCGCAACCATCATCGATCTTCTTGAAAACCTTGTGCTTCGTTCGCCAACATATCATGCGGTTCTCGACAGGACCTATTTCACCCGAGGCAAAGATGTATCCCGCGCTGACGACCATTTTTTAGAGGAATGCCAGGCACTGACGCGATGGCTGCTGTGCCTGTTGCCCAGCGCTGATCTACGGCGACCCCCAACTGCTGCTGTACCCGACTGACACGGCGGGCAAGAAATGCGGCCACGACCCGGGCGTGGAGGACAAGCCCTACCTGCACTTCTTCGACATCTCCAAGTGTGCCAACCCTGTAGCCTTAATCGCCGGCTGCCCAACGCTGCAGGTTAGGAGCGCGCAAATAACTTTACAAACTGTTGGTTCTGGCAGTACGCCGTATTTCGTCGGCCATCACAGCAGGTTGGAAGACCACTCTGAAAGAAATATGTTTTGGTTAGCAAAGTCAACGTTACCTGGATTTCCACGTGAACTTTGGTGCAATTTGACGATAACCGTCAATTACATAAGCGTCATCCAACATTTCAGTGGATATGCATTCTGTACATCAGCGTTCCAAGCATCCTGCCTCAAACCAACCAGCCTAACAAAACCTCGTCACGTAACCGACAACCATAAACGCAGCGGCACGATTCAGACGCCACTAAAACCAGAGGGTGTCGTGCATGGACTTGGCTACAAGTCGGGTTTTCACAGGCTTTGTACTGAGCGGTGACGTCACTGGTGCCGAAACTTCAACGTGGCGTGCTCGTTAGCCGCAGGACGCAGCGCTGCGGGATAGCCGAAATATCGGAAATCCCCACACAGATAATAAACAGCTGATAGCAGGAGGTGCATAAACCAGCAAAGCAATTAAGCATAATTCAATGACAAACATGATGATGTAATTTGCAAGTGGATGCCGTAAACCATTGGGGTCAATGGGAAGACCCGATAAGCGTAAACGTACACACGGTACCTACACGAGATAAAACTTCCTGAACATCGGGTTTTCTTCATTTCGACAATGAACAAACTGTCAGCGGTAGTTATATATGACCAGTGTGCCTAACGCGTAGAACTTAACGCTGGATATGATGGTGCGCTTTACCAGCTTATGCGGTCAACATTACAGTGCAATCGTGTTGAAACTGAAAACCACTACGCGAGGACTGTTGCAGAGATGGGTGGCCGTGATATCGGACTGCCTTCGTATCGATAATGAACAAGCTTTTTTGGGGAAAAGGTGGATATTATCAGACAGCCGAATGTGTATAATTTTATGGGGTGTATCACGATGTGCTAATTGCAGGTATGTATGCCTAACAGTTGAGATTGTATCGGCGTGAAAAGGGAAAGCGTTCACGCGCAGGCTGTTTGAGACTATGCAGCCTGAATATCGGGCTCTACCATTACCATGTAGCTACATGTAAGCTGGTGGTCTATGTGTATATCTGAGAACCGATCAGGTATAGCTAAACGAAAAGCATGAGCATATGCCTTGCAAGCTTATATTCAGCACAGCCGTTGAAACTTGACCAGCATGGGAAGGGAATGCGCCTACGCGGGGGAAGGGCTACAAGGGCAGCGGATGAGTCCCCGACTTTCTTAAAATTTAGCGTTCACCCAGTGAGCCTCAACTGGAAAGAAGTAACGAAAATGACTATGTCCTAAGTGTATTGTAATGGCTGACCGCTCAAGGATGCCACGTACATCATCACACTCGTCGCTAAATTATACTCAATCCGCTCGCTGGTCATGTACATCTGACACAAATAGTTTGCTCGTTATCGGTACGAAGGCAGCCAAATGTTCCTGCCGCCCTGTGGCGAATAAGTCTCCTGTGCACTTCCTCACTTTTCAGGCCGTTACATTTCAGTAGTTTGCCTCATGGGCTTAAAAAGCACAGCATGTACGTCATATATTATACGTAAGCGGCTCGTGTGCCTGGTGTACCTCCCGCTCACTGATTTGTTCATTATCTGTGTGAATATTTCGATATTCCGGCTGCCCCCCAGCATTACGTCCGGTGCCTTCCGTCCGGCTTCTTTCACATCGAAGTCTCTGAATCAGTATCGTTACGTTAATGTGAAGCGAAGATGGAGATAGAATCACTGGACGTTTTCGCCTCTCTTGGTTTTGATTAAAGCCTAGGCCATTGTCTAATAAGCCGACCCACTTCAGGTGTGCGTGAAGAAATGCCCAAGCACCAATTTCTTCGCCTCACCGTTTGCGTCTGAGGAGCAGTTGTGCGTGCGGGATGTGCGCGAGCGCTTCTACTGCCGGCCGGGGGTCGACGCGACGGAGGAGGCCAGCGGCGGAGGGTTCGCCCGCACCTGCCAGAGTCTGCTGGCCAGGGACTGCGCGCCGTACACCGTGGCCAGCGCACCAAGTAGGTCCCCGGCACAGCAGCCAACGCCCTAAGGTGGCCCCCAGCGCAGAAGCCAGCACCAAAAGTAAGTTCACGGCACAGCAGCCACCGCACCATGCAGGTCCCCGCCACAGCAGCCACGCACCAGGAAGATCCCCGCCACAGCAGCCAGCGCCTCAAGAAGGTCCCGGCGTAGCAGCCACTGCACCAAGTAGGTGACCGGCACGGCAGCCAACGCCCCAAGTAGGTCCTCGGCACAGCAGCCACTGTACTAAGTAGTTCACCGGCACAGCAGCCAACGCCCCAAGAAGGTTCTCGGTACAGCAGTCACTGCACTTAGTAGGTTCCCGTGCATAGAAACCGGTGACCACGCAGGTGCTGGATACGTACAGCCCGGTGGCCTCTGAAGTAGGTCCTCTTCACAAGGGCAGGCGTCTCTGATAGGTCCCTTAAGCCGTGTCCAGCGCCCCATGTAGGCGCCTGATATCGTAAACGGGGCCCCAGGCAGGCGCCTGATATCGTAGCCGGCGACACAAGTAGGATTTGCTGCATGATGTCCAATGCCCTACCTACGAACGATGTCCAGTGGTTCGAGCAGGCCTCGTGTACCTTGCCCGGCTCCCCTAGTGTATCCCTTGCTCCTGCCCCGCCCCCCTCCGCTCAAGTATCTGCCTGCATGGTGGCTAGCGCCCCAAGTAGTTAACCCTCGCTCCGTAAGGAGCGCCCCAAGCAGCAGGTTCCCACGTCATGGCTAGTATCCCTAGAACGCCCTGTACACATTGACGAGCTCCCGAGACGCGTTATTATTGTCATGGAGCTTGACCCGAAGAGTAAATCAAGGGGGCTTGATTCTCCAAACGGTTGACAATAACAGATAGTATCACGGACGGATACGGATAGTATCCTATTTTGGGTCCCATAGCCGTGACATTTCCTGGTAGTTATTGACGACTGATACTGAGCTATGCCAGACGGTACCATTTCGATGCCGATACCGATGGCTGATGCTAACCCACAACTATGACTTTCTCTGTCTCCATAAATATTTCCAGTGATACATCTTGGACTTACCAATACAATGCAGCCAAGTCATGTCGTTTGCCTGCCCTGTGCCTACATGCGGATGCATAATCAATGCATCACGACGGTATGGTTTAGGCCCAGGTGCCCTGTCGGGCCCCTCCGCTCGTATTTAACCATCTGTGTACCGACCTTCAGGCGTCCCCCACAAGAAAAGAAAGACAAAAAATGACTAGCCCAATTAAGTCATCTAAATGGGCATGTGTCACGTTGCTGCCTTGTTTGATGTTATTGCATCAACGCCCTGTGTCTCACGCTTGTGTCTCCTCATCGCACAGCAGAGCTTTTTCCCGGCAGTCTTGGACCGGTGCGTGCCCACATTGGGGGCGGAACAGGTCGTCAATGGGACCTTGGTGGACAGCAACAACAAGACTATGGGGGATCTGTCGCTGCAGAGCATCATGACGGCCTGCGAAAACCTTGGCTCCTTCCTCAAAATCAAAGGGGTGCGTTGTAAGATATGAATTGATGTTTTAACGCAGCGCGGCAGAGCGTTTCAGTGGGGTCTCAATTGAGACTTCACCAGATTTTGCGATTCTCATGTTGATAGAGTGATGGAAATGATTCCAAGAGCAGTATTAAACAACGCATGATTTTTAAAATGTGTTATGACACACACACACACACACACACACACACACACACACACACACACACACACACACACACACACACACACACACACACACACACATACTCACACATACATACCCACACATACATACATGCATACATGCATACATGCATACATATATACATACATACATACATACATACATACATACATACATATACATATATGCATATACATACATACACATACATACACATACATACACACACATACATACACACACATACATACACACACATACATACACACACATACATACATACATGCATACATACACACTGAAAACATGTCTTATTGAAATGCGATTGCGATTAAGCTAAGTTTGGTTAGTCAATATTGGCACACTTTGTCAATAATTATAAAACATCAAGAGGCTTCTTATTTTCTTTTTATCGGCAGCATTCCTAGAATTGCTGATCATGCGAAGTATAGGTCATTATAAGTGAAAGAAGCATCACAGACTGCACTTTTTCAGAATGTACAACGTGTTTGCTACCATGAAATACTTATAATGCATACGATCAAGAATGTTGTTCGCACACAGTGCTTGCTGTCTTTTTTAGACTTGTTGCTAATTTTGCACAATATCAGGTGGTGAAACGCGATAGGAAAAAGTGTCGGCAGTTCTGCCTTGTTTCCTCGCTGTGTTTTTTTCTCTTCTTTGACTTGACAATAACATCATGATAATTCCTGAGCGTTATATGTTTTGTGGTCACAGTTCGGTCAGGATGTCGGCAAGGACTTCCAGTCGGCATGGTGGGTGATTGTGGTAGCGCTCATCGTCTGCATGTTCGTCTCCCTCCTCTGGATTCTGCTCATGAGGTGGTTCACCTCCATCATGGTCTGGACTGCACTCTTCGGCTCGCTGGGAGCCATCATATACGGGTACGCCAAGCCGAAACTTCTCTCGCTATCATGTGCTCTCTGTCTGCAGGTGCATTTGCATATAATTGAATAACATTGACTAGCTAGTTCGAATGGCATTGTCATACTAGTTTGCCGATTACCATCACGCGTATTGTGCTTTGCATACGGGTATGCGCATATTGAAATTCAAGATCGCCATTTGACCTGAGTGTTCGCGTGTGGAGCAGAGACCCGTCTCCTAAAACATCATCAAAGGAGCACGTGCGTTTCAGATGTGTCTACACTTACCTGAGGTATGACAGGCTGAAGGATACGGAGACGAACCAGCCCACGGACAACAGCAAAGCGATGACAGTCAACGCCTTCACGTCCAGCGCCAGTTCCCTCCTCCAGCAGAAGAACACGTGGCTGGCCTTCTTCATCTGTCTGGTGGTCCTGGGCGTGATTCTGTTGCTCTTAATCATAATTCTCTTCAAGCGACTCAGGATCGCCATTGAAGTCATCGAAGAGGCCAGCAAGTGAGGATGCACAAGTTTGAACTTATTTTGAGTATGGCAATGTTATAACTGAAAGCCATCGGCATCATAGACGCTTTCGCTCGTAACAACGGTTGGACGTTATGCGTGGAGGAGGAGCTACTCACTAGAAGGAATGGGTGGAGCAAACCATGAACCCAGGTCTGCACACGCTGACTGTGGCAGGAAAAACGGGCACTTTTGGAATCACCCCTGTCGTCAACCACGCACAGCGCACGGGGCTCCCTCGTCTGACGATCCCCGGACAACCCGGGCATCATCAGGCTCTAACGGTCTCCAGGCCAAAGGCTCTCCGAACCAGATGAACCAAACGAACCAGGCGATCCCTGCACACCACCATAGGCTTAGGGCGTACCCAGGCTTTGACGACCCCTCTCCGACCCTCCAAGGCGTCCCGAGACGCTGAAGGTTCCTAGACCACCAGGGCTTTCCCAGGCTCTGAGTATCACTCCCTCCAACTGCTAGGACGCCATCGGCCGAGGCAGTTCCTCCCTGGCCATTAGGTCATCTTTAGACTCTGACGGTCCTTTCCCGAATCATCACCACGTTTTCAGTTTGGCAGTCCTTCCCCGAATCATCAGGATGTTCTCAGAGTCTGACGGTCCCTCCCCGAATCAGCAGGACGTTTTCAGAGTCTGACGGTCTCTCCCCCAATCATCAAGTCGTTCTCAGAGTCTTACGGTCTCTCCCCGAATCATCAGGACGTTTTCAGAGCCTGACGGTCCCTGACGGCCCTCCACAGGTCAGTGACGTCGATCTTGACGACGCTGTTCTTTCCGCTGGTACCGTGGCTGCTGCAGCTTGTTGTAGTGGCCTTCTTCATCACCATGGCCCTCTACATTGCCTCCATGGGCACCTCAGAGTACCGCGTGACGGCTCTGCCCGACGACTGCACCAACGGCTGCTCCAATTTCGCAGTAAGCTGGCAACGCTGCTCTGCACGCGCAAACTCGGCAACAGGACGATGACACTGGATATTGAGGTAGCGCCAATCTCGATTTTAGGTGAAGTGGCTTTGCATGACACCTGCTTTTCATCTGGCGTGGCCTGCTCCCTGCTGTAGTCGTCGTATCTGGTCCTTCCACTCCCTTTTGCGTATGGAAAGGAATACAGAGCGTCTTCGCCAGGTGCAGAAATGGGTCGTCGTTTCCCTCAGACTTCAAGTGTTTATGCCACAAAGTAGTGCGTGAACAAATTTATATCTAAATATGATGCGTTGTAGCACCAGTTGGTGCATTTCAACACCTCCTCGTGCCTATTGCAAATGCATTGTTCAAAGTTCTACTGAATATTTCAATTATCATTCCTTGTCTGAACAGCGTTTATCATAACCACCTTGACTGAGCGTGAATGCACATTTCAGATGAATGAAACCTGCAATCCGGAGGAATTCAGTAAGACCTGCCTCAGCCAGTGCCCAGATGCCGAGTGCACCTTCTACGGCTATAACAAGTTCGAATCCATTCCGTACCTACACGTATGTTTACAGGACGCCTGGAAGTAGCAAAATGTCATGCAATGCCACGTTTATAGTTGTTGTGATGGAAAAAGCCAGCTTTTAGTATGACAGAAAGTGCTGTGATACGAAGATATCAGAAAAGCAATGGGACATATTCAAAGGATGCTCAATTTGCCCAAGAATGATCGTCATCAAGAATGAAAAAAACATTAGGGAGTATATATTTATTATTTAAGAATCTGAGGTCTGTGAAAGACAAAATGTTCTGAGTGCGTGCGGCCTCAACCAGTGAGAAGGTACATAAATAGCAAATGATGCAAGCTCTCACATCCTCGACCCGATGCGCGATCTTATGGTGACTGCTGAGGACTGATCAAAACCCGGATGATGACGGCCAAAACGCCAGGTCTCGGCGACCGGCACCGAATACAAAAACAACAGTCATCAGATCCCCACATCTTAACACATGGGGCCGCACATTTACGGAGAGGTTGCACACCACTGAAGGAAGGCATGGTGGACAACACACGGACGTGAATAGTAATACAGCGAAGACCAACTTACAGCACCAACAAGAAGCAGCAAACACCTGGACGTCGTCCACGCATTATGATACGCTTATAAAAGAAATGTTTTTTTATGAAGCGTAATCGAAGCGTAACAAAGATGAACAGCGTTTTGAACAACGTAACTTTCCTCTCATTTCGGGTTGCAAATCATGCTCAAATCTCTTACATCATAATGCTTTGAAACCGAGCAATGTAGATCTACATTCATGGCCGCCAAATCGCCCATTGCTTGTTTTGCATGCATCAGGGGCCGAACAGAGGCGAAAATATTCCGTGACGCCCCCGAAAATATTCCGTAACGCCTCCGAAAATATTCCGTGACGCCTCCGAAAGGTCCGTCCATTGCGTCACCTAGAGACCGAAACGTCACGCATTGTAGCAATGCTGCAGCTGACCGTCGTAAACCGGCGCTCATCGTCACCTTCAACACCGTTGCAGTTCTACAACCTATTCGCTCTGCTGTGGGTGATGTTCTTCGTCTCGGCCATGGGGGAGATGATTCTGGCGGGTGCCTTCGCGGCATGGTACTGGACGTTCGATAAGCAGAAGAACCTGCCCGCTCTGCCCCTGCTCAGCAGCGCAACCCGAACACTGCGGTAACTGGCGCATACGCTCTGTTGATGCTTTTGTGGGAGGGCGTTTGTGAATGTTTTATAGGTAGCATTCAACTTGTGCACGCCCAGAGATTCCTCGGCAAGTTTAACTTAATTTGCAACCAGTATTCACGAGCAAAGCTACGCTGGCATTCCTTGTGTGGCGACTTATTGTTTGTGACTTCTAGCGACATAGGATGACTCATTGCTAGAAAATTTTTAATATATTTGAAAATAGTGTGCATTGACAGCATTGGCGGGAAGAGCCGTTGTTAAAAAACATTGATGCTGAAATTTTGAAAAACCGTTGCATTGAACGCAACGCGTCTCTGCACGAGTAACGCATGCCTTCCTCCAGGTACCATATCGGCACGCTGGCCTTCGGCGCTCTCATCATCGCCATTATACGCCTGATCCGTCTGATTTTGGACTACATCGATAAAAAGTGTCAGCAGTACCCCGGGAACCAGGTACGTGCTCCGCAGCGGTAGCGGCGTCATCGACAGCGACTGTCATTAAGATGGGCGGACGCTGAGATGCGGTGCTCCCAGCCGAGCTGATGTTACGTTTCACTGTTAAACTTGCATTAACAGTGTATGGGGGGCCCCCACGGTGCCTGCGTAACGGTGACCACAAGCGGGTTTCATTGAAGTCCGGATGTGACCTTTTCCAGGTTGTAAAGGTGATAATGTGCTGCTGCAAATGCTGCATGTGGTGTTTGGAGAAATTCATGAAGTTCATCAACAGGTAATCGGGATGCATACAAAACGCATGTGCTTGTTCTGTGTCGGTAATGACAAAGATGATTGACAAACAATAGCCCGATGTCTCATGTAAAAATATTACTTTGAAAAACCCATTTCATTATTAAAGTGACCGACATTCGTGCTGAAGAGGTCGTGAAAAGCAGCAGCACGTGGGCTTGCACGCAATTCATGGTCACGGTGATTGTAATGCACTACCTCACTACCAGAATGGTGGCCTGCAGTGAGGTTAATGCGTTCCAGAAATGCATACATCATGTGTGCCATCTACGGGAAGAACTTCTGCACATCTGCCAAGGACGGCTTCAATCTCATCATGCGGAATATCCTACGCGTCCTGGCAGTTAACTCGGTCAGTACCTACACAATCTCTATCAGATATATTCCAACTGTGTGCAATTTTTAGCCCATTATCCTTTGCACATCTTTATCGCCTTGCGCGTGAAACAGTGCCGCTCTGCCAGCTTGGGGCCCTCTGACGCCGGCGCCGCCCCCACAGGTGTGCGACTTTCTGCTGTTTCTGGGCAAGATTCTGATCACGGCGGCCGTGACGGTCGGCTCGTTCTACTTCTTGGACAACCGGATCCCGATCAAGGGTCTGGACACGGTGGTGCCAGAGACGCAGAACAGCTGGGTGCCCACGATCACCATCGCCCTCGGCTGCTACTTCATCACGTCGCTCTTCTTCAGCGTCTACGAGATGGCCGTAGACACCATCTTCCTCTGCTTCTGTGGGTCGCCGTGTTGGCACTGGTGTCGATTCCATAGGCTACTGGTGCCGATTCCATAGGCTACTGGTGCCGATTCCATGGACTACGACCCGAGCCTTGTTGGCTTGTTTTAGAGAAGCAACGAGGCGAGATGCTGGAAATATCATGCATTATTCATGCATTATGTGACTTCAGCTCTTTTGTTCAGAACATTGTTATATTTGATTCCTAAGTACACCGTTGGTTTATGCTGTTAGTCATATTGGGAGGAATGGGGGAGAGTGAGGAGACGAGCCGTCCTTTTGTGAAAATTTTATTCGAGCCTTATGATTCTGCGCGAACTGAGGGTACATCAAGGGAGATTGACCACACTTTCGGCGGTGCTCCTGTGCCCATTTGCCGCGGTCCGTGTTATACGCACATTGATGGGAAACATCCCACAGATTTCTCACAACGGCATTGCCGTCGCATCTGCCCCAAACCCGACGAAAGTATTCATAGCTGCTTGCGTGTACTAAAGGACACCCCTTCTCTTTTCCAGTGGAAGACATTGAGCGCAATGACGGCTCAGCGGAAAAGCCTTACTTCATGTCAAAGGACCTGATGAAGCTGATCGGCAAGAAGAATAAGCCGCCACCTAAGTCTCCGCCGACCTAGAGTCTGCCTAGGATCAGTACCTGGAGGCGTCCGCCCCTCTCTGTGTTGTGACTATATGCCGACGCCGACGGGGTGCTTGCTGATGCCTTGTGCCTCGGTGTCAGTCCTGCTAAGCTGTGTTTTTGACCTCAGGTTATTGTGATGGCTCTAAATCTGTGCCTGCTGGTCATGTGGCGAGCCATTTTTTCTTCTTGGCTAGGATGAGTTTGCCGAGTTCATTCCGTAATGTTGCAGCAGACTGGTGTGTAAGGTATTGTCGATCATATGTTGTCATTGACACTATTTCAATGATGCGAGAATTAGAGATTAATGATGCCATGGGACTTTAACAAAAGCGGCGCCCTCCATGCTTTTGGTAAACAGTTATTGGTCGCTGCCATATTTTTTCTAAATTCAACATTCTGTTTGCAAGCCATGTCAAGCAGCACCAGGCACCACTGCAAGCGTCCTGTCAATAGTTGCTTCATATATTTAAAAGCCAATCTGACAGCAAGATTGTTTGAAGTCTTTAGTTCAAAACAAACCGCGCTGTAAGCTTTCGTGACAACTGTAAGCAATGTCTTGCCTTAGACTAGAAGCAAGCAGTACGCTGGCAGCTAGGGTGTAGTTTGTTTTGTTTATTGTTGTTGAAGTGCTCTGCACGGCGTTATGAGTTACTTTTGTTGGTGCACTGTTAAACACGTGTATGCACCAACTGCCGTGGCCTTTGTGTACGTATGCTGTGGCAAAGGAATTGAAATTTATCATTCTGTAACATATAATAAGTTAGCGTTGTAGGTTTTGAGTGATTGGTCATGAGTTCAGGTCATACCATGATTTTGGTGTTCATCATTTAAACAACTGTATGATTTTCAACTAAAAAGTACTGCCCCTGAATATGCTGTGTTTACCTGCTTTATGGTGTTCTGTTAAAATTCAAATTTACAGCTCTCCGGTAATTATGGTACTTTGGAATCACGGCGAACGTGGGACGGTGCGAGGCCAGTCAATATTATAAGCTGTTGGACGCAAAAGTCAATGAGCTTCAAAACTTTCAGACTGTTAGCTTTGTAAGGTACTTAATCATAACAGAAGTGCCTTACGCACACCAGGCACTCCTATGAATCGTCTAGCTTTGTCAGAAGCGATTTTTGTAACGGCAAGAATCTCATTATTTTGCAGGTTTATTCAATAAATGTATTTCCAAGATAATAAGATATATTGATAAAACACTGACATACACATCAGTGCTAATGTTGCCACAGACGTGGGACTAAGCCACGCAGTTTGCACAAAAGTGCCACTCGTCTCGCAGCCGCAGAGGATGGCTTCACTGGAAATGTAACAATCGTGACTTCGAACACTACTCGCATCACATCGCACATGCAAACTGTAGCATACAGAATCGATGGCCTAGCGTACTTCATTCACTAGGTCATTCGGGTGGCATATAATGCTAGACAAAGGGTGTCACTTTAAAAGATTGCAGGGGGAGGAGAGGGCTGAGGTTTGCTAATGCCGACTTGAGTCCCTTAATACATCTGAGGCTCCTGAAGAGAAAAGTTACGTTGTTTTCCTCAACAGAGCCAATTATACTTGCCGCACAATTGTGACTGTGGTGGTAATCGACTTCCCATTGAATTGCAAGACAAACCAGCGTCAGCGGTACGTATAAGCGACTTGTCAAATCTGCCAAATCTGTCAAACTGTGGCGGCAAAAAAGGAACCCCTGGTTGCACCATGTCTGTTCAGGATGTGCAACAGCCGGATCTGCTGCAAGCGGGCGATTTGCCTGCAGATTTCCCACGGTGATGTGCTCTTTTTTGGAACTGATAACTTTTACTGGCTTATTTCGTTTCTGTTTTGATATCTGGGGTGCCAGTCAGTGGCCGAAGCCTGGGGAAAACCTAGGTTTTGAAAGCAAGTTTGGTCAATCTTATGGGCTCATCCCCCTTCCCTACCGATTATGGAAAGTGACACTCCTACACTAGGCCTCTGTACAAATGCGTTATTGCTCGATAACATCATGGAAGGTAAACCCCCAACACATTCCCGTAAACGAGCGTAGTTGGTGCCCGGGCAGTCCTGTAAACGGGTGCGATCTTGTGCTCACTGACATATGCATCAAGTGGTGGAGACAAAACGTTTTGATTGCATAAATCACCTCGGCCCCGTTGGCCATCACTCAAATGCACAGACAGTCAGCCTCTCCGGATATCACCACACGATCGTGCAGGCGGTATTGCGGCTAAAGTGACGTCGCAGGCAAGTTTTCACATGTCCAGTCTTGCACCGTACCTTTACTGGAGCACCAGTGAATATTTGCTGCGTATTTTCACGGTGCACTTATGGTTTCCGTTGTCGCTAATTTTGATTTAGCCTTTCGCACAAATTCTACCGTTGCATATCACATGAGCGGGACTCTCCCGAACTAAATATAGGAAAAGACCGATTCCATCATGTTGATTCGTTTTGTGTGACATGGCAGGGTGGTTTAACAAGGAGAGCGGCATGGTTGCTTAAGATCAGCGCAGCTCTCTTACTCAGCATCTGCCAGAGACGATCACGTGACATGTTGTCACGCATACAGTTTCCCTTTGGCCAACATCACACAAGGCCGAAAATTAATCCAGATAGGTACGTAAGGTGTGATGTGGTGATGGGGTATGGGGTATGCTCATGGGAATTTGGGATGTTTTGAGATATACCACTGTACCCAGATTTTCGATGCTGCGACTTTCACGGCGAAATATGATATCTATTGGAGTGACGCAATAGCACTGCCCAGCCCTGAGCACCAGCTGCCGAGCCGCTGAGCCCCGGCCGGCTGTGTTCGCCCTGACAGCGGACCGCCGCCGCCATCACCGGGCCGCCGCCGATCGCGTGACGTCCACCTCTGGCATGAGCGGGTGACCGGCCCCGGTGCCGCCCGAGCCGGCCGCCTGGCGCCGGATCTCGCTCAGCACACCGTGCACTATGTCCGTGACGTGATGCCGGCCCGCCGAGCCGGTGTCGTCATGCGACGCGCCGCTGCCGCTGCCGCCGCCGCTGACGTCGGCCGAGCTAGACGAGTCAGCCGGGGCATCGTCGGGCCGGCCGCCGCCCGTCACTCCGACCTCGCGCGCCACCTGGTGACAGGCGGGGCGCCATCTGGTCAGCCGAACCGATCGCGCGCTCGCCGCTCGCCGCCAGCTGACTCGGACCGACCGAGGAATCAAACCGTTGTAAGTGGGTCAGCAGAGCTTTGGCAGTTTGTTGTTTCGATATTTTCGAGATATTGATGAGATATGCAACGGGTTTGCTTGCTGGATAAGCTGAGTAAGCTCTAAATTCAGTATCTGAAGCTGGTAAGTTCATGTTGCGATGCCAGGAGCTTCATTGCGCCAAGCTCTTCAGCAGCGATTCTAAAAAATATTGCTTATTGACAACGAGTTCTGCTTAAGTCGACTCAGCACGGTGCACATAATCACATTGAGGACAGTTGTCAGCTAATAACACACTTAGCAAGTTGTGCGCATGGATCCAGACACAGGCTTTGAAAGCGAAATGCCGTTACGAATTAATCTGTTATTCGGAACGATGTGTTGGGAAAATAGGACTTTATGTGTCATCCCGTTTCTGTAGCTACACCAAACAGCGCCAAAACACAAATAAAAAATGCAGAAAACCACATGCCCAACTCTCACAAAAATTCAGCAAACCGCATACCCGACTCCTACGCTACACGAGACCAAGGCCGCCCCTTGACCCTTATGGTCACAAGAGTCGAGGCTCACACCCGTCTTCCAAGGACCGCGCAGGCCTGAGGAGTGCCCGCTCTCCCTGTGCATACCGCGGCGGCCGGCTGGCCGTTAGTGATGGGGCCGGCCCGGGTGGCGCCACCGGCGGCGCCGCTCAGCTGACTGCCAGTGGCCGTGGCCGATAGGGGGCCGTGTCCGAACAGCTGCTGCAGCTCCAGGTAGATGCAGCGCTTGAGCTCGTCAGTCACGTGCACCTCGTCACAGTCGCCGTCAATCTGAGCAGACGAGAGACGGGCCACCGCCGGGTAGACAGGTCAGAGCTGGGGATATGGGTCACAGCTGAGAAACGGGTCGCGAATTGGCTGAAGAATACGATTAGGGTGAGGTGGGTTGATCTGTATAGGAACTTACTTGTGCTATTTGAAGTCTGTAGGTCATGTCCTTTGCGTCAAATAGGCTTAAGCATGGTCACATTCAAGGTAATAAATGCCCCAGATCTACTCATACAGCCGCTTTAAGCCTAGATGCCTATTCTAAGTCAAAGGTTACTGACGTTTATTTAATGCCAGTGGCCTTGTTTGATCTTTAGAAGGTTTCGCGACCAAAAACCCATGAGGGTATTTTGAATTTTAGGCCGTTTAAGATTACGCTAGATGGCACGTTCCGAAAAACAACGGGTTGATTTGGATCGTCATTTAAGGTCAGTATCCTACTCTAACCTTTTAGGAGTCAATAAGGGATGTCTGTTCCGGTCCCTGTTATCAAGAAATTCGAAATGAGCATCATAAACTACCCCGTGAAGCAAGCTCTCCAGTAAAAAAACAGCTTGGTTTTGACCTCAATCTGACCTTCAGACCTGGCCGTAGGTCGATGTAATTCGTTGCAACTCTAAATTCAACTGTTGTGTTGCCTAAGGAACTATCTCAGATATGCACAGCTTTGTCTAACACTCCGCTGTCGCATCAGATTGAACGATTCCCTAGAAAATAAATTCGCTGACAGCCACGATCTGATTTTGAACTGCCATAGGCCACCGACCTTCTAAGGTACCTATCATTTTGTACACCAAATTATCTTATCTCCAATTGTCTACAGCTGTGCAAAGTTTGGCGCGGCGTACCCGCACCATTCGAAGATTATCCTGTAAAAGTCTTCGGGGTCAAACTGACCCCTACCCATGCGCGTATCGAATGCCACGGTCACGCGACTTCCTCCTCCACAATGAAAAGCTGGACGAGAAAATTCCCGCGCTCCAACCACAGCAATGGGGTGGAAATCACGGCCCGCGGTCGGCCTCCTCGGCCGTGGCCGGCTCGTTAGCGAGCTCCGCGTACAAACACACACCTGCCACCACTAATTCCACAATCTGGGTACGATCAGGCCGCGAGCCGCCCCGATGCTAAATTATGAATGCCGCAATCGGCAAAAGACGGAGACTTACGCCACGCCGAAGTACGCTACGCCTCGAGGTTTCGCCGGGCGTAAAGCACATTGGAACACGGCACTGAAAGATCGAGCCCATATTGGCTGTTTTTTATTGACGTTGGCCACACGTGGCGGAAAATAACTGCGTGGTGAGGCTGCACCAGCCCAGTGTTTTTCCGCAGCAGCCTGCAGCGCTGTTCATGTACGCAACATCACGCAGTGTGTGCTATGAAGCGAAGTGAGGCCCACAGAGTCGACAGAGCGGACGTCCCTGCTACCCGAGCGTTTGCCGCCGCACGGGCGGAAAAGTTGGAGTCACAGTCGGCGTCTCGTCCGGCCCCGCAGCTCGTCGGCGCGGGGTCTCACCACGAGCAGCCGGTGCGCCTCGTCCAGAGCCTTGACGGCCGGCAGTGTGACGGTGCGGTAGAGCTCGAGCCGGTGCCGGCACGCCTGACCGTGTCGTCGATGTCCTCCCGCCGGCCGAGTGGTGCGGCCCAGCTCCAGCTCAGAGCAGTCGATCAGCACGATGTCCGACTGGCGGCCGTGCTGCGAG